GAGCTCAAACAAAGGCACAGGGCTCAGCCCGTGGAGTACTTCACTTTGAGAGCTAATCAGCCGCAGCACCTGAAGCAGCAGGAGCCACTAAAATGTGAACCAAGTCCAGCAGCACCGCAGCAGTGTGAAATCAGAAACGAGATGAATGCCCCGCCACGAGCCCAGCAACTTGCGCAAATATTTGGCAATTATTTAGTTTTCGGTTTGCGGTTTGCGGTTTGCTTGGGCATAGCCATAGCCGTGGCATTAATCTAATGAAGGAACATTTGCAGCTGGCAAAATGAAGAGCAAGGAAGAGGCAGCATATTTTTGGGAATATTTTCTTCTCTGTCCCACGCAGCTAAGGATCTGCGCCTTGTCCCGGCTCTTCCGCAGATCTCTTCCTGAGCTTCGTGTAAAAGTTCAGGCTGTGGCCAGGCCGAGGCTCAGGCTCAGCCTCAGTCTCCATTACGAGTGGGAGGTCTGGGCAGGCGGTTGTCATAGAAAGTTGTGTGGGCAGTGGGCGTGTCAAAAGACAAACGCCAAAAGTGCGCTGCGGGTTTGTAGCTCCCTCCCTGCCCTGCCCTGTGTGTCCTTTTAAATGCTCATCACAGAACGGAATTCGGCAGAAAAGTTTTGATAAAAATCCTATTATAAACATAAATAAATAGGCTGGCGGGATCATAAAAGACCAAAAGCGGGAAGGACTGCCAGCAGCCAATGTTGACAGAGCAAACATTCGTGAGTAACCAAACTGAAAACGAGAAACGAGAAGCGTTGCCAGGACAGACGGACTGCCTGGCTGCTGGCTAGTGGCAAGCGGCAAGCGGCAAGGTATGGTGTGGCACGGAGTGTAGAGTGCCCAGGCAAAGTCAAAGTCAAACAATGAGGCAGCCAGCTGTGAAAGGACGAGCCCGAAACTTCATTAGTGCTGCTCATCCACAATGTATGCTGGTCTCTGGCAAGGACTGCCACTGCCACTGCGCTGGCTCTGGCTCTGGCTCTGCTCGGTTTTAGCTCTTGCACTTGCCCCTGGCCACACACACACACACACACACTACACACACATCCTTCCTTCCTTCCTTCCTTTCCTGCCTTTACAATGGCCTTTTTATAGCCTCACGCTTGGCGGTTTTTTGGAGCGTTTTTCAGCCATTCGCTTGCGGTTTACTCTGCCAGACGAGGAGCCGGCACATGGGCATATTCAATATTCATATATCGCCAGAATATGGCGAATATTTATTACCTGTGTGTGTGTGTGTGGCATTGAGTTTTGGGGCTTGCCTTTTGTTGGCTTCCTGTCTTCCAGCAACTAGAAATTCGCATTCTGCGAGCCTACTCCTTTGGCTCGTCCTTTGGCCCTCTGCTTGTTGCTGTTTGGCCAACCGTTGGCAGAATTTAATCTCAAACTGAAACTGAAGACATTCTGCCAGTCAGCGCTGCAAAGTGCTAAGCGAAATTGCTTTGCCCAGGCCCATGTCTGCCCCCAAGGTGATTTGCATAGCGCACAGGTGGGCGGGGCAGGGCTGGGGCTCGAGACTTAAATAATAAATAAAAGAAAAATAAATGCAAGCAGTTTCGGGCCAAGGACAAAATTTCATAAAAATATCAGAATAATTATGAAACATTAAATTTGTCATAGAAAAAATGTGAATTTTAAATCAACTTTAATCGAAATCTGAGCTGGGAAAGTGTCAGGCAAGTGCCGCTGCACTTTTGTTTATAATTTGTTGAATTTTGTTCATAAAAATTAATTTTAATGAAGCGACACACGCAAGCAAAGCTCAACAATTGCACTGCCAGTTTAATTGACAAATTGCTTGATGGAAATCTTTAAACACAGCCGTGAAAATGCGTATAAAAGCTGATGCCAGACTCCACTTGGCTGCAGTTACAATTTTCAACTACAAAATGAAGCAATTCGCACTGTTTGGCATACTTTTGCTCATCCTGGCCGTGGGTTTGGTAAGAGCTTCAGTTTGAGTTCTGTCTTTAAACGCCACTCAGCCCAAATGTCCTTTTGCAGTCTGAGTGGCCCCAGCAGGTGTCGGCCGTGGCCCTGGCCCAGGGCGGTCCGCCGCAATCCCAGAATGGACCGCAAAAACCACCGAATGGCGGTGGAAATCAGCAAAGTGGTGGACAAGGCCAGAACGGCCAAAGTGGCGGTCAAAACAATAAGTAGTAATGGCAATGGGCTGTAAGCGATTTAATAAATAGTTTCAAACTGCAAAGAAGACAAGTTGTGAGGGGTTTTTGTTACATTTCTTGTCTAGAGCGGTCCGCTTTCTAGGCATTCTCTAGCTGTATTTTTATCTCTAGATAATTTCTATGAGTTCTCATCAATTTCTATAGTGGTTTGGTGGCAATTATTCAACGCATTTTTATGTTTCAGCAAAGCAAAATCCACCACCCCCAGAAAACTTTGTTGCCCAAAGAGGTTTCGTTTGGGAAAACCCAAAACTCTGCCACAGTTTTCTTGGTTGCCCCTTTTTAGTGTGCATTAAAATGTTTGCTCCTCTTTTTAAACTTTTTAAAGCCCCACAACATTTTTGTTTAATTGTTTGGAGAAGGCTTGTCGGATTTTTTTGCTGTGTTTCCGCTCTGTCTGGGTCGCAAAACTTTATTAATAAAGTGCATAAATTTGTGAGTGAGCAGCAGACGCGTGTAATCATAATAATAATGCTCGGAAACATGCAGAACACGGCAGGGAGAGGAGAGTGGGGATGGTGGAGCGGTGCATTGGCAACTGCTTTAGCGACTTGAGCGACTTTGTGTACTGCTTTGAACGGCAAAGTGCTGATTATTACCGAAAGAAGTGCTGCCTGCAGGCATTGCATAATTGCATTACGAGAGGAGATAAAACCCCCCGCTAAGCAGAGCTCTCCCCCGCTCTCACTCCCCCCCCCCCCCCCCCCCCCTTTTTTTTACAACTGCAAGGCAGTCATGTGTGAATGCACCTTCGAGAATAACCGAAAAACTTTGCTATCCATTGGCATCAGTGGGAGCAGAGAAGAGACAGAGAGAGAGAGAGCTGTAAAGAGAGGGAGTCAAGGCAGAGAGGGGAATCAAGAGAGTGAGTCAAGGCAGGTAGCGGAATAAAGTGAGTGAGCGAAGGCGGATTGGAGTGTGCCCAGGGGTGTTGGTTCGGTATCAGGTAACGGTAAGGCGAAGATGGGAGGCAAAACAAACACAGCCTTCAATTACCAAATGCTGATGAAAAGCTAGGGCTAAGCTCAAAAGAAAAGCATGGGGAAACGTGTATTCCCATTGTTCGATGCTGTAGAGTATTACATATCCCGCTCATGCATAATTTCCGTTCCGAAGGATATTCAGCGTACTCGAACGAGGCCGCCGCTACAGAAGAGCAGCCCATAAGCAGCGCGTAGGGGGCATGGCAGCCCATCGCATCGCATCGCATCGCACCGCGTAGGGCGTAGGCAAACAAAACAAACCAAAATCGAAAACGAAAACGAAAACGAGGCGAGGCGTAGAGAGCTTTCACTCGCTCTCAATGCCAGCGTGCAACACGTGACGACACAACCACAAAGTTTGAGTTCCACTCAAAGCGAGCCAACCAGCAGCCAAGGATGCGTCCAACATGTTGCTTCCCTTGCGTATGCTGCTGCTGCTGTTGCTGCTCTGTCGCTGCTCAGTCGCTGCCACTGCTTCTGTCACTGCCCTTGCCTCTGCCGCTGTCTCGTGACTTGCGCGAAGCAGCGAAACAAGCACGAGCTCAAACCCAAAGCACGAGCGAAGCACCCAAAGCCCGAACGCTTCGCGAGCCGAACGAGTGCCAAGCACAAGCACAGCACGAGCGCCACGAACTGATAAAGCAGCGGCCTCCGGTTGGCTTCAGCAGCAGCCTAGCATCCAAGCAGCAGCCGGAGCGCTTCTCCGGCGGACGACGCGTCCGTTTGCCTCGGTCAGTTGAACATTTTCCATGCTGTGATCAAGTTGTCTTTTCCTCTGAGCGCCAAGCGCCCGTGTGCACGAGCGAGCAACTTACTCGTATATCGCAAATTCACAATCGGGGATTGAACGAATTTCCAACTACAATTTCTTTCAACATAAGCTAACAGTTTAGTCTGCCGTTAGTCTGTGTGTGTGTGTGTGTGGGTGTGGGTGTGGGTGTATGCGTGTGTCTAATGGACAGCGAAAACTGTCGCAGCAAAAGGCGTGGCAGTTGGGATTCGGAGGGTGCGGTCTTGGTCGTTGGTCGTTGGTCGTCCGTCTGCCACATGCACTTGTTGTGCAGCATCAGCATCAGCAGCAGCAGTAACACAGTAACTGGCAGCAGCATTCGTCTGCCAGTTGCTGCCACAGATGGGTGCAACATTCCGCTGCAAACGTAATTGGTTTTCCATGTCCGTGTTCGTGCCTGTGCCTGTGCCCGTGTGCCAAGTGTTTATTGTCTCAATTAATTCAATTTTAATTCCCCGACAAATTGCAGAATTTAACGCAAAAACCATGAAATAAATTATAAATAAAAATAAAAATTGTGAAACGACGGACTGACTTACATGCATTTTATTAGTAAATAATAAACCAAACCAAACCAAACCAAAGCCGAAAATCAATTCAATTGAAATAAACACCAAACAAAAGCCACCGCAAAAGAGAGAGAGACCGATAGAGAGCAAGAGCAAGAGCAAGAGCAAGAGAGATAGAGCTAGAGAGGCGTCCACAAAGATTTTCGCAAATTAAACGAGAACAAAACGGTTTCGCACGGACAAAGCAAAGCAAACACAACAACAGTGCAAATGAACAATAAAATATAATACAAAAAGTAATAATTATATGTAAAATAAATAAACAAAACAAAAGAATTCCAATGTAAATGTTAAAAAACGAAAACGAAAACGAAAACGAGAGCCGCAAATCCAATGGGGCAGGAGTAGAATAATTAAAACAGAAAAAGATACAGCCACAAATTGAATTCAATCGAAATTGAAGTCGTCGACAGTTAACTGCAAATCCCAAATCGAAATCCAAATTGAATTACCAGCAAGAGCGGCGGACAGCACAGCCCCTTGAACGTAGGGCAAAATGAAGTCAACGAAGCCAAGCGCCATGGAGCCAAAAATTGTAATGTACCAAAACGAAAAGCAATCTTCAAAATAAACACACAAGCTACAAAAAAGCACATTATACAACATTTCAAAACCGAACACTCACATTCACACATTCAGCAAAATAAAACCCAAAACTCATGCGACATTTCCCTTTCCCTTTCCCCATCTCTGGTCCCCACCCCACACATAGAAACGTATTGAGGAAAAGTCATTTTTCAAATACGAACAGAAAATATTCCTCCTCTGCCTTTCTCTTCGTTTATTGTGCTGCCTCTTTCGCTTCCAAACAACAATTCGCCAATGCCCCACTCGAAAACACACAAAATGTCATTTGTAATTTCCATATCATCAGCATCCAAACAGCAGCTAAAACATCGCTCTTATATCTGCCACAAATCTATGTCTTAAATGTACTACACAGAGTTTCCGTTCCTTCTTTTGTTTTTTACGAACTTTCTGTTGTTTGAATAATATTTATCTGTGCATCTTGCTCCGTCTTGATGGCTGCCAAAGAAGCAGCCAAGTGCGTGCCTGTCAATTATGTGCTCCACCAAAATTATTACTCTAATCATCTTGGCATCTTAGCTTTTATGATTTGCTGTTCACTAAGCACATTGAGCATATCTAATGGCTCTTAATGGTTCAATTTCCTTCACTCTATGCCACAAATGCAGCAAACATGATCTAATAATTACTTCTCATGCCATTCATCACGGAGGGTTGGCTGTGTGCCTGTCAATTATTTACTTGCATTACATTTGCTGGCATATCATTTTGGAGTATTTCATATATTTGGCTGCTAATTAAAAAGTTATCATTAAACAAAAACTAAACCACTCTACGCTCATTTGTGTGCTGCTTTTCTGGGAACTTTTTTTGCAATTAGTTTTGCATTTAGTTTTGAAGTTTGCCTGGAAGTTTGTGCCATGAATATTTCTCAAATGTTTTTCCACTGATTGTTGTCTTTGGACGACAACCCGATCAAAATGTAACCCAGTAAATGAAAGCCAACCCTTGGTGTGTCATGTAATTTGCATAAGAGCTTGTCATGCATGGCGGCATCTCTGCCCCAAGGGAGAGTGCCTCAATCTGCGTCTACTTCATGGACTCTGCATGGACTCTGCTCCAAGTGGGTCACACGAAGTGCCATCAGACTCGTAAATCTCCTAACCAGCGGGGGGTTCAGCTGGCAGCATCGAAAACAAGTCAATTTGGCAGCTGGCCAAATCGCTGGCAATTATGTGGCGAAAACGCACGCAAAATATCCAATCAAAATGAGTAAAAACCCGAAACCCAATGCAGTTTCGGCGGCTTAAACTGCCTTAAAAGTGCATAGAGTTCAGGCTAAATGAAGGCCGGGAAAGCCAACCCTGTACCTCTCACCTTTGGCTTAGTTTTATTTGCCATTTTAGTCGCTTTAGTCACGTTTCATTGTTTGTGCGTGGAGCGAGTGTGTACATATTAATTAATGCATAGAAATGTTTATTTAAGCATACATATTTTTAACAGCATTAATTAATAAATGTAATTTTCTATTAAAAGTTTCGCTCGCCGCTCGCCGCTCGCCGCTTTAACCTTTTAAACAGCCGCTGAAAATTGTAATTAGAAAAGTTTGTGGCCCATGCATAGGCGCATAGGCTGCTGTGTGCTCAACTGAAAATTATTCAAGCACACACACACACACACACTCACACACACACACAAGGGCACTCCGGCTGCTGGGACTCTTTTTTGTTGCCTACTTCTTGGGGCAGGCGAACAACTCGTGACTTGATTTGAATTTTCAATTAGCAATTGCTCAACTGTTCGGTTGCAACTATGCGCCGCCAGCAGCGGCAACTACCAGCAGGAACTGTGCTTCATTTTTTGTATATTTTTGCTGTTGTTCGATTATCAAGCATACGCCCTGTGGTACCACTGACCAAACATTCCAAAACTGTGTTGCTGTCGGCACTTTCGCCCATGTAGCAGACCCCACCAGACGCCCACCTGGCTGTTGATGGAATTATTGTGTGCTCAACGAACCGCAAGCCACAATCTGTGCAGGCTCCGTCCGAAGTTGCCCTTGTTGGCATTTCTTTTCATTTTTAATACACATAAAATAATGTTTGCAGGCGCCACAATTTGTGGCAAAGTTAATGCTCGATTTGCTGCTTATGCTGCAGGTGCCCACTGCCTACCTTTTTGCAGCTTTTAATCGTTGCTCATTTGTTTTGCCAAAGATGCTGACCAGAGCTGTGCGAGCGACCCCCACTGCAGCGTAATAAATCAAAGGCCAGAGACAAAAATTAATTATGCTGTGCGGCCGCAATTTGTTATGGAACCTGCCACAGGACACAAATTGTGCGGACTTTGTTGCATGTGCAAAATGTAATAAAAGAAATTCCTCTTGAGCCTCAGACTGTGGCTCAGACTCCCAACTGTAGCCGAATCTCGACAGTTGCTAACTGAGCTGAACATTCCATGCCGCAGGCAGCCCGCTCCACATCCGGCTTGGGGTTCGCATTCCAAGCACCTGAGCAGGACTCTGAGGAGCCGTAGAGCTTCGGGGCTAATGGCTGGGAATGGCTGCACATAGTTCAGCCAGTTCGGGTAGATATTTTTCCAACAACTTGTTCTCAGTTCTCCCCCTGCTGCTGCCCCTGCTGCATATTTTCAGTTAACAAATTCCAGCTGCAGCTCCGCATGTGCCACGTTCTCTCTCTCTCGCTCTTCCTGTGTGTGTGTGTGTGGCATTCGCTTGTGAATTTCAATTTCAGACGGATGAAATGGCAACTGGCAGCTGTATTTTCGTGTGCAACTAAAACTTAACCTCCGTTAACGCTCGAATGTGCGCAGCAGCGCCAGAAACGAGCCTGTGGTCTTGGTCACCTGTGAACAAAGGAATAAACCCCAAATTAGAGAGTCCCAGAGGGGAGTCAGGCGATGGTCTGACCCACCCAGAGCAGCAGCGGTAGATCCACATCGAACATGTAGCCAAACACCTTGGCGGGCTTCTGGGCGCGCATCATCAGCAGCTGCCACAAGCGACGCCGGGCAGGGGGCATCCGCGACCAATCGCTCGCCGCGTACACAGCCACAGCCACGTGGCAGCTCTGCTGCTTGAGGTACTCGCCGCCGTAGCAGTAGGAACTCAGCTGCATGAAGACTGTGAGCAGGAAGGCCGCGCGGAAGGGCACCTGGGAGCTCCAGCCGCTGCGGGTGAAGCGAAAGGCCAGCATGCAGAGCTGCAGATAGCTCAGCATGTACTGCACAAAGACGATTTCCGCAAAGATGGCGGAGAGCTCGGCAGCCAGTTCGAGAGCCAAGCGATGGCGCTGAATGCAGGACACCAGGTGGACATCCGCCTGCTGCAACTGCCATTCCAGCAGCTGAAACTGCGCCACAACATTGTGCACCAGCCAGGAGAATAACGTATCCGCCACGATGGCCAGCCAGGCGGCAGCAGCCACGCCCAGCACGCCCCAGGCATAGATGGGCCAGTAGTAGCGCGCCTGCCGCTCGTCCAGCCAAAAGTTGAACTCCATGGGCGTCGTCGGGCGGAAGTGGCCCTCCAGCCAGTAGGCAATCAAGCCGTTCAGCATGGGCGCCACGGCAGAGGCAACGATCACGCCATAGGCAGCATTCCTGAACGACTTGGAGACATACATGTCCCGGCGGTTCTCCTGGAGTATCAGCCGCAGTTGCTGCTGATTGCCGGACGCCTGCCGGTTGAGTCCGTGGAGGCGATGCACCAAGGCGCCAATGCGTCGCCGCTTCACAATGAATGCCACAAACTTGAGCGTGGACAGCGAGCCCTGCATGAACACGGCCAGATTGTCGGTGAGACGCGTCAGATCGCTGAGATCCTGCAGCCCGTAGACGACCATGGGCCAGTTGTGGGAGACCAGCGAGAGGATCAGGAGCGCAGCCCACAGCGGCTGCTTCATGGACAGACGCGGCGTGCCGGGATCAAAGCCCACAATTTCGAGGGCACGTCGCTGTACGGAGAAGTAGCTGCTGTCCATGGCGAGACTGAAGCTGAGCGAGGACTCCGAATGGGGTTTATATACCAGGGCCAGGGATTGGGTTGGCCCGGCTAAGTGGATGTCGTTGCCGCCCCTCAAATTGTGCCTGAAATATTTATGCGCTCAGCTAACGGGCTACGTGATAAGGTTACACAAGCGGCAGGGCGGTGAGGGGGCTCTGGCTGTGGTGTGGGTGTGGGGGCCTTTGTTTTGATTGGGAATTTCCAATTTCACACAATAATAGTTTGTTGATTTGTGTCTCGCATTATCACAGAATAAATAACAGTGCTCAAACATGCAGAGCGACAACAGCCAGCAGGCAGCAGCAGGAAGAGTTGTTTTATTTTTATTTTTAATTCACATTTCTCGGTGGGCGTTTAATCGACATCGACATGAATAAACTGTACACGCAATGCTGTGCGTGTTAGTAAGTATTAGCAAATATTTACGCAAATAATCAGCATTAAAGGCAATTCAAATGTTGTGTCTGTGAAGTGACATTTAATGCCACTCCAGCCACGCCTGCCTGCCCCTCCACATTCCCTTTCTTCACGCTCCCCGTTGGTCCCTTCTGCTGCCTGAAATCAACAAGTAAAATCGGAAATTTTCATTTAGGTTTGCCTCCTGCCTCCTGCCTGCTGCTGCCTGCTGTCTCCTTCCCTTTTCTTGTGGCTATTTTTGGAGGGTCAACCGCTTAATGTCACCGCAATTAATCTCTAGCAGCCGCGGGTTTTCTTCCAGTTTCTACCTTCATTTGCATGTTGGGTTCTGTGACTGATTTTTGATGTTCCTCTGGAGTGATTGGGCGTGGGTCCAGCCACAAGTTATGCAACATGATTTAGAGGCAGCGCAGCCGCAGGCTCTGGGCAGGAACAATCCAATTTCGTTCAGTTTAAAGCTGCACTTGGAGGCGCCCCAAAAATTGAGGAGCAGCTGCTCCTCCTCGATAATCTTGACAGCGGGTCGGCGGGTCCGGTTTGTTAAGCTTCACACAGCCAGCCACAGGATCTCTCTCTCTCTCTCTCTCTCTTTCCACTCTCTGTATCTTCTCTTTTTTTGGCTGAGGTTTTTTCCAGTCCTTTTTTGTTGGGCTGCCTTTTGTTTATTTCATTGCTGATACGGCCACAACTGCCCCCCGTCTGCGTGTACCTCCTTTATCTTGGTTGCTGGAGTGCGGTCTGTCCCCCACTCTGTCCCCTTTGTGCAACACTTTTTGTGTGTAAAAAGAACTTCCGTGTGGAGCAGCTTACGCAAGGGGAAGCTCCCCTTGCCCTCTTCCTGTTTGAAGCAACTACCAAAACATATTTCACATGCTGTTGCCTCATTTGTTTGACAGCGGCAAAGGGCCGCACAGGGGGGGGGGCTAGAGGGGGCCCATGGCAAAAGGCGCATCATTCAATAAAAAATTAATAGGAAAACATTCAATGAGCAGCAGTTAGAAGTGCTCCAAGCGGGGAAAATCACAGGTAATGTGGCTTTACGAGCACTGAGAGACAGATATCGGCATTCAGACTGGCCTTTGCCTGTGCTCAGTGCTCAGCCGCAAAGGAGCCTTGCCCCAAAGCATGCTAATAAAAACATATACCAAGGCATGTCCATGTCCCACACTCACCCTCTGCCTCTCTCCCGCCGCCCCCTCTGTGTGTGTATTATGTAAGCGAATGTGCAACACTTTTTTTTTTCTGTGTGTCCCAGCCCCTGCCTCAGCCGTTGATTATACTAAACTTGTTTACTTATGCCGCTCGTGTGTGCACACACACACAGAGAAACTTGTATGCTGCATGTGTGTGTGTGTGTGTGTGTAAAAAAGTGCAAACTACAGCATAGCCCAGCAGCAGAGAAGCGAGAAGAGCAGGCAGTGGTGGCAAGAGCCGAGTAAACATTAAACATTGCCACGGAGCAGCAGGAGCAGCAGGAGCATGCAGAATCTGGTGGCTGATGAATGGTGCCAGAAAATTTGATGATATCGCGATTAACATAATCATTTGCATGTGCTTAGCCTTAGCCGTGTCCTTGTGCATTCAAGAAAAACTTGTAAACTGTCAGACAGCAGCAGAAAATGCACGAAACTAAACGGAAATCTTAGCCATTAAGGGTATGGGCGGAGGTGTCAGGAAGGCTGTGGGAATAAGTGTTACATCTTGGTTATATTAGAGACACTTTTGAGATTCAATCGGCAGGCAGCAACCATCATTAAGTGCTTAGTTCTCAGTCCTTTTGGTTATACATTTTAGCAGATAAATCTTGCATAACTGCAAACAAATTCCAAATTTGTAGCTTTGATTGGTAGCTAAAAACCTTCAATTGGCATCAGAACTTTTTAGCTGCTTAAATTCTGTCTTTGCTTTTGAGAATTTTTGAGAACTTTCTCCTACATTTTTCTCCTTACTTCTCCACTTTTTACATTCTGTTGCTTGCTTCAAAATGTCACCTTTAAATTGTTAATTTGAAATTGATTTTTGTACCTGCACAGCCAATAAAATAAAGTAATAATTTGTATTGTGTGCAACCCACAAGGGAGTTCCCTTTGTTGTGTACTAAAACGGCGGCTGTGTGTACAACACGATCTCCAGGGAAAAAGTTTTTGATTTTTATAAAATTCGTTTGAAGGCAGCAGCCCCGGATCCCTCGTTGTACATTTTCATCTATAGAACTTCATGCATGAACACACAGAGGAGAAGCAGCAGCAGAAGATGTAGATAGCGAGAGAGAGTGAGAGGGAGAGGGAGAGGGAGAGGAAGTGGGGCAAAGCTTTGCACACTGTTTGTGGAGCCGAAATTAATTTCCACCAGAGCAGGTATGAAAAGTCCAAGCAGCAGCAGCAATCACTAGAAAATCTTGTGGGTTAGATGTATGTACACATATGTACATACATTTGTACATATTACATACATTTTTACATATTACATAAGTTTTACATATTACGTATATATTTACATTTTTACATATTACATACATTTTTACATATTACATATATATTTACATACTACATACATTTTTACATATTACATACATTTTTACATATTACATATATATTTACATTTTTGATACATTTTTACATATTACATACATTTTTACATATGTACATATTTACATACTTTTGTACATGTTTACATACGTTTGTGCATCCCGCACGACTGCATTGATGGTCGTCGATTGCCCAGGCGCAGGATAACGTGGCAAGTGCGGGCGTGGCCCCACGTGTGGCCATAAATAAATAATGTAAAAAATGGAGCATACACTGGCAGCGGGGTAGGGGGCTAAAGTTGCAATTGAATAGCTGAAAAAGTTCCCAGACGAAATCCAGCAGAATTGATTGCTTATTTGCTGAGAGCGGTGCAAATCTCAAGGGGGGGAGAGTCTCTGGCTATACATATCCACTGCACAAATAATACTCGAATGTGGTAATTGACTGTGCCCCAAGGCAGCACACAAGAGAGAGAGAGGGAGAGGGAGAGCAGAGGCAAGACTCCGAGGAACGAACAATGAGCTAATTTTAAGCTAATATTTATGCAGCAATTAAAACGGTTCAGCTGAGTTGAGCTGAGTTTGAGCTTGGAATCAGAATGAGAGGGATGACGATGACGATGACGATGACGACATCCTGCCACGCCCCATGCTGCCGCCTCTCTGGACAGAGCAAACGGGGCAAGCGTGGAGGAGATTTGCCGCTGCCAAGTTATAAATGGCTGATAAATGAATGCAAACTGCTGCAAAAGTTGCTGCAAGCAAACCCATGCCACATTATGAATAATATTTGAGACATTTCCCGAGCGAGAAGGCACAAGTTTTGGGAGTGGATTGGACCGAACGTAAGCCCATCACAAGGGGCAGGGAGCGGAGTGACAGTCCCATCTTGCAGCCAATAATGCTGGCCCTCATGTTTGGCTTCATGTGGCATGTAAAGTGTCAGATGTCTCTGACTTTTTGCCTCTTTGGCTTCAGCACTTTTAGCAGCTCAAACAGACAGACACACACTTCCCTCCTATAGAGACAGCCGCCCACTCATCTGCCTAATTGAATTCCTTAACGCTTTGCGTTATCCTCTGCCCTCTGCCCACTGCCCACTGCCCTGATCCTTCTTCATTCCATGTTGTTCAAGGAAATCTCAGCGAGTTGTTTCCTTTTCCGTTTTGAGTGCCTTGTGGCATGTGCTGGCATCCTGCTGGCAGCCACTTTTGCACGCCTGTCAGGCCAAGAACTCTGCAGCCAGCCCCCCCCGCTGTCAAACTGTGCGCCTAAGTATGTGCCATGTCGATGTCGATGTCGATGTCGATGTCCAGCACCCGCATGCCTGAATGCCAATTCTATGTGTCGCTTTTTAATAACTGTGTCAATCGCTCTCCCTCTAACACACTCTCTCTCTGTCTCTGTGTGTGTGCTGGCCATTAGTTGCCTCAAAGGGCCTGCAACGCTTTCGGGGCAATTAGTGACCAGCCGCACACGCAGTGTGTCATGCATTTGACGTCGCCCATTTGCATTAATTAATCGAAATGTCCGCACTTGTCGATACACTCGCTAATTGGGCTAATCGTGGGGCATCATTTTGGGTCAGTCTGCGCCTCTGCCTCTGCCCCTCTGCTGTTGCATTCGCTGCCTCTCTGGCCCCCCATTAATAATCAATATTTTGTGTCTAAATTCGAACTGCTGCTGGCTCTGCGTGGGTTACTCTCTCACGCAGTAGCTTAGCTTTGGCTGCAGCTTAAGCGCTTGTCAACTGCCAATGCCCGACTTGAGCTGCCTGGCCCCAAAACTGTTTTCTCATTATCATGCCTCGATGGCTGACTGACTGCCTGACTGCCTGACAGGCTCTCTTCTTTGATGTTTTATTCAAGGCCTTTGATCTTTTATGCGCTTTATCTAGGCCAACAAAAGCATGTCTAAGGAGCGAGGAGAGGCAATGAGAATATGCGTTGACAATGGAACCCAAAAAATGGTAAAAAAAAATGAAGAGGCGGCAGCGATTATGAGGAAGGGCAGAGCCCCAACAAAAGCTGCATTAATCCCTAATAATGGCGTCTAATCTGCCCGACGAAAGTTGATTCAACAAAACTGATTATGGCCAAACAACAATAACAGCAGCAGCAGCAGCAGCAGTCTAAGATTCAGCTTCAGATACAGCTGGCAAGGACTCTG